GAAATAAAAAAAAGTGCAATTTAAAAAAAGATCACAACCAACCAACTCACTGATTTACTTGAAAATTCTGAACGTGTATTCTGCATATAGTCAATGTAAGTTTGGAGATCCTACCTACTCATGCATATAGATTTAATCTCTGCTTTGAATGCAAATCTCAATAACTGACTATGGATCAGATATGCTGGCTTCATATTTAAAGAAAATAAGATTTTGCTGCTGATCCTGCACTCATTTCTACTCTGTTCTACCCAGCACTTCAGAATAAGATGAGTCCCCAAACCAGAGTCAACAGCTATAATTTCCCTTTGCATCTTAGTCTCAGAAGCAATTTGGATGTACATATTTATGGAGCAATAATATATTTCCAGATCCAATTACTTGTACATAATGCATACTGCATGATGGGATTCTCCAAATCACACTCATAGTCCTTCTCAAAACTGAGTTATCAGCACTGGGAAGCAGCCAAATTAGTGTTTCATAACAAGCCACTCAAAAGACCAAATAAGTAAAGGAAACATGAATAACTAAACAAGCAAAGGGGTTCTGAAAACTAAAAGCTGACCATTTAAGTTAATAAACTAAACATGAAAGCTAGCTGTACACTGATACTAGGTAACAGTGCCAAGTTAAGGCAGGATGATGCAGACTAGTTATGCCTGTCTCAGAATCACTCAACGCCCCCTCGCCTCAGGCAAGAACATAAAGACCGCCACACCAGACTGGACACAGTGGTCCACCCCTAAAATAAGGGGCCAAGTCTCTTCTCGCACCAGTGTAAACCCACTGCTTTCAGCATGTTACTCCGCATTGACACCAGCGGGAAAAATGCTAAGTCCACACTACAAATTACTTCAGTATAAATTACATCACTCGGGGTTGTGAATAATCCACACCCCTGAGCAATGTGAGTTGTAACAACCTAAGCACCAGTGTGGACAGTGCTGCGTCAGTGAAAGAGCTTCTCCCACCGACAAAGCTACCGCCTCTCGAAGAGGCGGGAGTTACTGTAGCTACAGCTGTGACACTGTAGCACTTGTGGTGGAGATGCTCTAAGAGATGATGGGAGATGGTTTAATAACTCCTGCCTCTGCGATAGCTAAAATGCTGACTATACCAGCACTTAGGTCTTGTAACTTAGGCCTTGTCTACACTATGAGGGGAGATCGATCTAAGTTATGCAACTTCAGCTATGTGAATAATGTAGCTGAAGTCGTCATACTTAGATCTACTTACGGCGGGGTCCACACTACACGATGTCAACTGGAAATTCTCTCCCGTCGACTCCCCCTCCACTTCAAGTGGAAAACAGGAGTCGCCGGGAGAGCGATTGACAATCGGTTTAGTGGGTCTATCGACCGCGGATGTATCGGTGAGTGCAGACAAGGCCTCACATCACTCAGGCGTACGGATTATTCACATCCCTGAACCATGTAAATTATACCGAAGTAACCTCTGGTGAAGACAAGGTCTAAACCGATGGGAGAGCTCCCTACCCTGCGCTCAGTGTCTTTACCAGACGCTACTGCAGAGCAAAGTCGCTCCCTCACCCCACCCCGGGGGGGGGCAGGCGTCAGGCTGGTGCCGACAGACAGGCGGACTCGCCCATTCGCCCCCTCAGGCCACGCGCTTTGCTCTGCCAAAAAAACACGACCGTAAAAACCGGTCCCAGGAGCGAGGCCAACTCCCAGGGCGGCTCCTCACCCCGCCCGGGCTGCTCGGCGGAGAGCGGGCCTGGGCGCCGCGGAACCCGCGGGGGGGGAACCGGGACTGCGACTCCGGCCAGGCCCCGCTGACCCGAGACACGCCCCCGCCCCCTGCAGCCCGGGGCCCCGCGCCCCGCCCCCCTCACCATCTCCTCGTGCCCGGGCCCGTCGGGCTGGCTGCCCCCGGGGGCGGCGGGGCCCGGGCTGGCTCTTCCCTCCGGCGTCTTCCTCTCGCTCGGGCCCTTCCCGCGCGCCGGGCGCCGCCGCCGCCCCCACAGGTAGAGGGCGCCGGCCCCGAGCAGCAGCGGCGCCCCCAGCGCCAGCGCCACCTGCCAGCGCGGCAGCCCCGAGCCGCCGCCGCCGCCTCCCCCCGCTGCTGCAGCGGCCTCCACGGGCTTCGAGGCGGCCATGATCCCCGCTCCGCTCGCAGCGCCAGCCGGGGGGGGATGGAGGGAGCAGAGCGAAGGGTCACCGGAAACCCGCGGCATGCCGGGAAAGGGTCAGGGGGAAGCACTTCCATGCGCCGCGCGGCCGGGCTCGCCCGCAGACAAGGGGCGGCGGCGCCACCTGCCGGCGGAGAGGAGTAAGCGCAGTGCCCGCCCCCTCGCCTGGGCTCAGACACGGAAGCGGCGGCGCCACCTGCCGGCGGAGAGGGGTAAGTGCAGTGGTTCCCTCTTAGGATCTCAGCGGGGAGAGCAGGGAGCCCGCAGGCTCCTGCTAGCATGAGTGCATCCTACAGGGAAAGTCGGATCCTCCCATCCCAGTTAATGCACCAAGGCAGGGTGAGAACACAAGCTGCTGGGCGTGGATGCTAACACAGTGTGGCTAGCTCCAACCGTCCAAAAATTAGAGTCTGGCCCCCAAACTCAGGAGGTTTTCTTAAAAACAGTGAGTGCTGGGTCCTGTTTATTTGCCTTCTGTCTTTTGAGCCTTTAGGGTTCACGTTTCTCTGCGCAGCCCTGAGCGCTAGAAACTGACTGGATTGTTGTTGTTGTTTTTCAATGAAAGCAGAGGTTCTTCTGAAATCACATGACCCCAGGACCTGGGACTTTCAGGCAAATCCCAAATATCACAAGATGTGTGATAAAATCACAAGAATTGCCAACCTTGTGCAGTGAGACTTCAGTTGTATTGGGATAGATCCTGAAAGGTGCTGAGTGATTCCCACTCCTATTGAAGTCAAAGGGGCCATTTTTCACATCCTTAATTTTAACTCATATGGGGTCAATGGGGCTCTTTAATGATAAAAGTTAAGCATATGAGGTAACCCCAAATATCAAAACAAATCATGATTCAGTTATCAAAATTCATAGGATTGTCTTAAACAACAATAAATTGTGCTGGTGGGGGGATATTATTTGCCTTCTAACTTTTGAGCCTTTACGATACACTCTGATCCCATTTTCAAACTATTCTCTACAACCGTAGAGGATGGAAACTCACTTTTTCCTTAAATAAAAGCTGTGTTGCTCCTGTATTTATATAATGTTATATAACTCAGAGGTTCAGCCCTAATTCATGTCACTGGTGTGAGGTCCATCAGGGACCAGACACCATTGAAGGATCAGAGGTCTGAGAGTCTACTCTGCCATGCCCTCTCCCCAACCCCAATTACAACCAGCCCTGCCGCACCTCTCCTTCTTCTTACGGCTGGACCATGGCTGGCATAGGAGACAGTTCTGGCATCTCCACCAGCTTTACACTAGCAGAGAGTTCCCTAGCTCATGAGGGAATTCTCCACTGGCCTTACCAGGCATTTTATGGCAACTTTGCACTGCTTACCTAGCACAAAGATGTTTTAGCAAACTGGAGAAGCTGGCCCTCCAATTTGTGCTCAGAGAAATCACATACAAAAATTGTTCCGAGCTTTTCAACAGCCCCTTCCCCAACTAGTTCCTATCTCCAAACAACAGAAAGAGAAGGAAAATTAATCACTGCAGCTATTTTTTTTGCCTGGCACCTTCTGTGACATACTGTACCCCCTGTACCCACCTATTCAACACTGTTATATGATTATGATATGTTTTGTACAGAGTATGCCTTGTGAGGTATTATTTGGAAAGTTATAATCTGTTGCGCATTACTATCCTGTTGAAATGCATATATCCTCATTGTATATGAAGTTATGAGATTTTGCTATATGTGGTTACTGAAATAGGTTGAGAATCTGGGAAATGCCCACAGATTAGCTCCTCAGAGATAACAGAAGAGTGACCAACATGCAGCCAGGTGTTAAGCGACCATCACCAGCTATTCTCAAGTAGCAGAGTTGTAAACAAAGACAGTTGCTTGAGTATGTACACTATCGGGACAGCCTAATCCCATGACACAGCATAGACTTTTCTAGCACCGGGAGAAAAGTATAAATGAGGGACAGTGATATCGCTTTCTCCTCCCCATCTCTATACCTGGAAGCAAGATTGTTTGGAAGATAAAGAGACGTCTCCTTGAACTGGGGGAAAGGGATGGACCTAACTAGAAAGCTGTCTAGTTAATATGAACTGTGAACTGAAAACTGCCTGCAACATCCAGTAAGGTGAGAAAAACTGTTTGATTGAAATCTTGCTTAGCCTGATAAAGTTTAGGATTTAGAATGCATGTTTATTTTTTATGTCTTATGTAACCAAGTCTGACCTTTATGCCTACCACTTCTAATCACTTAAACTCTATCTTTCTTTAGTTAATAAACTTATTTTCATGTTTAGTCTAAACTAGTGAGTTTGTTTTAAGTGCTTGGGGGATCTGCCCAGATTACAGAGGCTGGGGCATGCCCAGTACCCTTTGAAGAAGTGGCAAGCTAATAAATGGGCTTACATTGATCTGGGGTGTAAGGCTGGGGTTGTGGGAATTTGCTGGTGTCTCCCTATATACAGTTCATGAGTGGCTTGGGAGAGCCTTTATGCAACTTAGCTGGGTATGCCTGTGCACACCGATGACTGAGTGAACAGAGCCTGGAGGGGTTTGCAGTTCACTGCCATAGCAGTGTAAGAGACAGTCTGGGCAGGAGAGTTAAAGCTGACACAGGGGTTCTACAGTCTGGATTGCACTCCAGGGTATGTCACACCTTCCCCTGAAAAAGGTGCTATTGGGGCTGCCATTGACGTAAAAGGAGCACTCACCTGAAAAGAAAAGTTTGTTGCTGATGCTGTTGATTCTGCATGTTCGATGAAAGAACTCAATGGAGGGAGAAAAGGAGGTTTGATTGTTACTGCTTCTTTCTTGTCTAAAGCATTCAATGGAGGAAGAAAAACCTTTGTGGTCGAGGAGGAGGAGAAAAAGGAGGAAGAAGCTTCCTTGTCTGGAGCTCTTAATGGAGGGAGGGGAGCAGATGCCATAGACGATGATGATGCTGGTGATGGCTTGCTTGACACTCTCAGAGGTGGGAGAGGACCATTGGTCATGGATGATGATGGTATTTCCCTGCTTGGAGGTCTGACTGGAGGGAGTGGAAAGTTTGCTGTTGCTGCCTCCGCTTGCTTACATGGAGCACTCACCTAAGGGTAAATAGAAAAGTTCGCTGTGTTATTATTTTTTGCTCAGCTGTACTAAGCATTTTGCACCCTGCAGGTAACTTGTTGGCTTTCTTTATAGGTGGGAGAGAAATGAGCTATTTAAAGAACTTTGATCATTATTCCAAACAAAAGTGCCAACGATTACAAAGATCAAAGTATCAAGTATCAGAGGGGTAGCCGTGTTAGTCTGGATCTGTAAAAGCGGCAACAAGTCCTGTAGCACCTTATAGACTAACAGTCGTATTGGAGCATAAGCTTTTCTGGGTGAATACCCACTTCTTCAGATGCATGTAGTGGAAATTTCCAGAGGCAGGTATAAATATGCAAGCAAGAATCAGGCTAGGGATAATGAGGTTAGCTCAATCAGGGAAGATGAGGCCCTCTTCTAGCAGTTGAGGTGTGAACACCGCGGGAGGAGAAACTGCTTTTGTAGTTGGCTAGCCATTCACAGTCTTTGTTTAATCCTGAGCTGATGGTGTCAAATTTGCAAATGAACTGAAGCTCAGCAGTTTCTCTTTGAAGTCTGGTCCTGAAGTTTTTTTGCTGCAGGATGCCTACCTTTAAATCTGCTATTGTGTGTCCAAAAAAATCGAAGTATATTAAGGTTGCAAAGTGAAACACCTGAAAGTCAGGTGACACTAAAATGAAGGTTGCACATGCAACCGTTATTCTGCCCCTTTGTGCTGATGTGTTATGACACTTATTGACATGATCACCATGACAGGGTATTTATTACTCCTCTCTGTTTTTTCCCTGACCAGATTGCATTAACCACTGTTTCTTTTCTTCTCCATTCTTTTCTTTCCTACCAAAATATTGGTCAACATACTCCTGCTTTGTCTTTCCCTTAGTGATTCTGTAGACAAGAAAACTGACTGGACTCTCACTGAAAAGGAGTCAGTTCCCCTTTAGAAGCTGGCACTAAACACCTTGAACCAAGTATGCACTGGCATATAGCCATAAAACAATATTAGTTGCCAACTCATGGTGCGGTTGAGCAGCACAGAATTCGCCCCTTACCTCCTCGCTCCCCAGTACATGCAGAGAGATCCCTGTGGTAGGCAGAGAAGGATTTAGACTGATTTCTCCCTCCTCATAATGAGAAAAGCAGATGCCTGAGACTGAGATGCCAAGGGTTGGCTGTGCTTAAGAGAGAGATTTACAGACCCAAAGAGTGAGACTTTCCAGGTGGTGTGTTAGGTCATTGCTTAAGACAGGGGCTCTCATCTTTGGTCCTTGGCGACATCCAATAGTCCGGGTTTGTAATTCAACCAGCACTTAATACTTTGTTTTAAAATGTACACAGCTTAATATTGCATATGAAACACTTAAATGTCCTAGTTCATATTAGTCTAGAGCACGTGGGAATTCTATATGCAATGCAAACCAGTGGATTTTAATAAAAACAATTATTCGCTGGTTGGAGCAAAAACCTGGAGGATTGGAGATCTGTGAGGACCAGAACTAATAACTCCTGGTTTAGGCACAAAGTCAGTGGACAGAACAAGAGATATATTAAAAAATAAACTGTTTTTATATAAACTTAAAAAAGAAAACATTTTTTTGCATATCACCTTGTCTTAGTGTCTTTACAGTACAAATATTATTTGGTTTATATATTATTGCTCATATTATATTTACAGGAAACTAAAATAATCAGATTCCAAAATAAATTAATTAAAATAAAACACAACCAAACAACACATTCAATTAATATAAAAATAAATAAAATAATTAAATTGAATTGAATTAATTTGAAGCTAAAAACCATAGAAAAAGGACTCAGATTCCATATTTCTTTTAATATCTAATTTGGTGTCACATTTTATTCATGTGCTTTGTTATATTGTATGTGGCCCCCTTTGTTATTTTTATAACTTCTTTTGGTAGCTCAAACTTGAAACGTGGCTCAGGATTTGCCAGCTTTACTTAGATAATAGAGGACAGTGTCCAGTCTAGTCCAAGATTTGGTCTAAATGGTGTCTTATTCTTTTGAACAAGACTGAACCCATTCCCCACTCCCGCATTTGAGTGGGGTAAAATTAAAATGTCTAGCAACCCTGGACAGTAATGGGAAATTGAGAAGACCACTAGTGCTTTTGACATTTCTAAGATATGCCCATACAGTGTCCATCCTGCATTGCACAGTAGCGTTATCTGGGTCAGTCTGTAGTGTTACCTCATCCCAGACACCAGCGGTCTCCAACCTTTTTACACACAAGATCACTTTTTTAATTTAAGATGAACCCAGGATCTACAGTGCCCCTTCCCTGAGGCCCCGCCCACTACATTCCCCCCTCCCTCCATCGCTTGCTTTCCCCCACCCTCACTCACTTTCACCAGGCAAGGGCAGGGAGTTGGGGTGGGGGAGGGGGTGCAGGCTCTTGGCTGGGGCCGAGAGGTTCAGAGTGTGGAAAGGGGCTCCGAGCTGAGCCTGGGGCAGGGGTGTGGGGTCTGGGAGTGAGTTTGGGTGCAGGAGGGGGCTCTGGGCTGGGGCAGGGGATTGAAGTGCGGGAGGGGGTGAGGGGTGTGGGCTCTGGGAGGGAGTTTGGGTGCAGGAGGGGGCTCCAGGCTGGGGCAGGGGATTGGGGTGCAGGAGGGGGGAGGGGTGTGGGCTCTGGGAGGGAGTTTGGGTGCAGGAGGGGGTGTGAGGTGTTGGCTCCAGCCGGGAGGCGTTTACCACAGGGAGCTCCTGGTCAGCTGTGCAGTGGGGATATGGCAGGCTCCCTGCCTGCCCTGGCCCCGCCCCACTCCCAGAAGTGTCTGGCATGTCTCTGCGGCCCCTGGGAGGGCGGAGGCAGCCACACACGCTGCTACTGCCCCCGCTCCCCAGCACCGACTCTGTAGCTCCCATTGGCTGGGAACTGCAGCCAATGGGAGCTGATGGGACGGTGTTTGTGGGTGCAGGCAGCGCATGGAGACCTTCCCCCAGGGCCGCTAACATGGGGACCTCCCCCGGGGACCACAAGCGCAGCCCCCGCATTGGCCACAGTTCCCGGCGAATGGGAGTTTCAGAGTCGGCGCTGGGGGTGGCGGGGGCAGCAGCAGGGCATGCAGCTGTCTCCCCCCCTTTCCCCTGGGGCTGCAGAGACATGCCAACCGCTTCCAGGAGTGGCATGGGGCCAGGGCAGGCAGGGAGTCTGCCATAGCCCCATTGCACCACCGGACTTTTAGCACCAGAAATCGCGATCAACTGGCAGAGGCTCCAGGATCAACCAGTTGATCGCGATCTACCAGTTGCTGACCACTGCCATACATGCTGAGGGATATCTGATTTCTGCAGCAACTGGTAATCAACAAACTCCTGTTACAACTTCTCTATCTCAGGTGGAGAGAGACTGAACATGAGCTACTTTCTGCCAACAAAGTGTTCAACATATTTAGAAGTGCAGTTTTCCTTCATATCAAAGTTCAGAAATGCTGCCATCTTTAACATTTCATCATTCAAAGATAGTTTCTCCCGTGCATACTTGGCACAGGCGTAGAATGCTCTGGCTGCACAAAAATAATTTCTGTTTTGCAATTCGGGGCGCCATTTCAGATTTTGGCATGGGGGCACAACTTTAACCATGATTTGTGGGCCTACTTAGACACTTAAACTATTTTTTTTGGCAGATAACTTAGCAATTAGCTGACAGGAGCACTGTATCTAATTTGTATATACAAGAAAGAAAATTAAATAAATATTAGACCCACTCAGCTCTAATACTAACGTGTTCTGACATCTTGTGGTAAGTCACTTAAGGGACACTAGTTAGTTTTAAAATTTTAATGTATATTCTTACTTTGTTACTAATTCTGCAGAGAGAGAGACCCTGTCAGGACTCCTGGATTCTATCCCAGCTCTGGGAGGGGAGTGGGGTCTAGTGGGGCACAGCGCGGGGGAAGATATATCCCGGTTCTATATAAGAACATCAGAATGGCCATACTGGGTAAAACCAGTGGTGCATCTAGCCCAGTATCCTTTCTTCCAACAGTGGCCAATACCAGGTGCTTCACAGGGAATGGACAGAACAGGGCAATCATCAAGTGATTCATCCCCTGTCACACACTCCCAGCTTCTGGCAAACAGAGGCTAGGGACATGCAGAACGTGGTGTTGGATCCTTGCTCACCCTAGCTAACAGTCATTGATGGACCTATCCTCCATGAACATATCTAGTTCTTATTGGAACCCTGTTATAGTTTTGGCTTTGACAACATCCCCTGGCAAAGAGTCTCACAGGTTGACTGTGAAGAAATGCTTTCTTTTGTTTGTTTTAAATCTGCTGCCTATTAATTTCATTGGGTGACCCCTAGCTCTTGTGTTATGTGAAGGAGTACATAACACTTCCTTATTTACTTTCTCCACACCAGTCAAGATTTTATAGACCTCAACCATATCCCTCCGTAGTCGTCTCTTTTCCAAAGTCCCAATCTTTTTAATCTCTCCTCATATGGAAGCTGTTCCATACCCTTAATCATTTCTGTTTCCCTTCTCTGTACCTTTTCCAATTCCAATATATCTTTTTTGAGCAGGGGCGACCAGATCTGCACATAGTATTCAAGATGTGGGCGTACCATGGATTTATATAGAGGCAATATGATATTTTCTTATTATCTAACCCTTTCCTAATGATTCCCAACAGTCTGTTAGCTTTTTTGACTGCCGCAAAAAACAGATGTTTTCGGAGAACTATCCACACTTATTCCAAGATCTCTTTCTTGATGTGTAACAGCTAATTTAGACCGCATCATTTTATATGTATATTTGGGATTATGTTTTGCCATGTGCATTATTTTGTATTTATCAGCATTGAATTTCATCTGCCATTTTTTGGCCAGTCACGCAGTTTTGTGAGATACCTTGTAGCTCTTCACAGTCTGCTTTGGACTTAACTATCCTGAGTAATTTTGTATCATCTGCAAATTTTGCAACCTCACTGTTTACCAGATCATTTATGAATATGTTGGACAGCGTTGGGCCCAGTACAGACCCTTGGGGGACACCACTATTTACCTCTCCATTCTCATTATTTATTCCTACCCTTTGTTTCCTATCTTTTAACTGGAGTGCCTGGCAATGCTTTCAGGATCATCTAAGGATCCTTAACTTAATTTAGTGACAAGCCTTTTGTTATCTTAATCACCTGGCCTCTGTTTATAACAAACTCCCAAAGGCAGAAGCTGGGAGCAGCACAGAACTCATCACATATCACACTCAAGCTGTGTTGCAGTTAAGAGTGCTGTCTGGGGCTAGACTGTGCGCTGTGAGCGGATCTCAGGTACGAAACTTGGGGGGAAGGGGGGCCTAGAGCCTCCCCTGCCCCCCAATGGTGCCCCTGTTTGCAAGAGGACTACTATCTTCCAACTTCTGTTTTGTGACCAAACCTACAAACAGACATGTGTCTCAAAGGGGATTGTCAGAATTAGCAAAGTCTGCATCTGTAAACAAGACAGCATTTTTGATCACTTGTGCCTGAATAAACTTTCCAAGAAGTTTTCTCACAAAAGTAGAAAGCACCCCATCTACCATGTATATATAAGGATCTTCCCTCTGCAGAAACCTGTTAGTGGTGCTAAACACTGGGAGGATGGTAGGACCCTGGTAAAAGAACAAACAAACCTCTGTCATAGATCCCTGAAAGCAGGGGCGGCAGGTTTGTATGATTTTTGGTGGTGCCCAGAATGGGTCCAAGTCCCGCTCCCCCACACACACCTGCCTATGGCTCTGGGAGGGAGTTTGGGTGCTGGAGAGGGTTTGGGGTGCAGGCTCTGGGTGGAAGTTTGGGTGCGGGAGGGGTGCTGACTCTGGGAGGGAGTTTGGGTGCTGGGTACGGGCTCTGGGCTGGGACAGGGGGTTGGGGTGTCAGAGGGGATGTGGGAGGGGGTTTGGGGTGCTGGGTGTGGGAGGGGGTTTGGGTTTTCAACATCACAGACGTGACAGAACTCCTCCAAGAATGACTGTCATTTTGTTCTTTTGTCAAAGTAATGGTAGCAATCAATACATACATCTTTAACATCAAATTCTGACACTTTAGAAAACTGTGTAGCACCAGCACAGTGGTATTGTGGATGAGGTGGCATGGACATCCCATGAAATACACACATGCATTCTTATTTCGAAGCAGTGTCTTAACTGAATTATTCGTACCCATGTTTACACTGGCATTGTCCAAGAAAATCCAACACCGTTATCCCATGGTATCTCATGTGATGTCATTCTCCCATCAATTTTGGAAAAGATTTATTTTGCAGTGGCTGTATGAATGCCAGTAGTGAGGCATAAGTCAAGTAACTGTGTTGTCACAAAATGTTTCTGGATATCAAAAATCCTCACTGTCAGTGGATTCATTTTTCTAAGTTTTTGTCATATTAGAGCCATCAACAAAAAGAGAAAAGGCTTCAGTCTTTATTTGTCTCACAAGAAACTCTTGGAAATAGGCAGTAATGGCACCATTCAACATACATGTTGACTTGGTTCTTACAGATGCATAATACTGGGCAATCTGGCTGTCAGAAAAGATATCTTTAAACAGGGGGCTCAAGTTGTCTGCGGTTGCAAAAGGAATAGTGTGCTGTGCAAGCAGAGTTGTAACTTTCATTTTTCATTTTTGCATGTGTCACCTAGGGAAAAAACATTTATATTTTGTACATAAAAAAGGTGTAATCTATAAAAAATTGAATATTTTATCAAAGTTAATATCAAAATGGGAAATTAATAGACAAAATACATGCAAACAGTATAACAAAATGTTCACAAGCATATATGTTAATGATATGATACACATAGTGAGTGGATTTTTTATGTGATATAAGGATTGCAAATTTGTGTCTGGGTAACTTTGTCTGTGTAACGTACGGTATTTTAATAATCCTGTTGCCATGGATAAAGGCATCAGCTCAATGAATTAATGAATATTTAACCCTCATCAGGACACATGGAAAACCAAAAATCTTGGATCCAATAAAAATTAATTCATAAAAACAATCAAAATTTTCTGAAAGAACATTGCAAACAGAGTTTCTGACAAAGTACTAGGAATAAATTAGTGTACTACCAAAAAACCCCAAGTCAGCAAGCAAATTATTTCTGGGGAACTCAAGTGCCCCGAAGAGAATTATTAGTATTATTACTATTATTAACAACAATAATAATTGATAATAACAACAAATCATAATTATTAAACATATTTGACTTACTTTATCAATGAGGCAATTCGCCACAGGTACAAAAAGAATTTGTAGTTGTGAACACACTGCTCTGCTATTTACGTATTTCATTTTCCAGATGACGAGTTACATCTTTTTCTCCTTGATGGCCACAGGACAGCTCTGGGGTGACCCAGCGCACAGTTAAAAAGAGAAGTCTTGTCTGCTACTGGGACAGTGAAGGGCCATGAATTTGTCCAGTGTGGTTTAAATTTTGAACTGTATTTTGCAGAACCTGAAAACTTTTGTTCAAGTGCTGCTTGTTTTTTGGGTGAACTCATATTTTTTTGACCGTCAAGTATTCACACACATGAGCCTGCCACCGCCCTGGATAGCCTCCTGTCCTGTATAGAACAAGGGCCAGTAGTCTCCATGGCTATCACAGTACACAAGCTTGGAAAGCGGCTTTCCAAGCACGAAACCCTGTGCCTGAGGCCCCGGCTGTATTGTTGTCTCTTTCAGTGCCTGAGTAAAAATATTTTAAATCTTTATATATTTACTCAGAATGAGTGAGATAAGTTTAGGGAAGTATGTGAGATTGAGACAGCATGTTAATGAATGAGACTTGACATGTCTCCTGAGAGATCCAAGTATGCAAATAAATACGCTGATGGTATATAGTTCTTAGTGTGAGTTATTCAAACTCAAAAGTCCAATTCAGGAGGTTTGAGGTAATTCGATATTTTTTTCCCAGTAACCCATAGGCCCTATCAATACTAGGCCAAAAGGCACCGCAGCCAACTCTTGGTTGCCATCACTCACACTTGTGATGCCTTTGGAAGGCTTTGCATCCATACAATGAACCAGTGTAGTCTATAACCCACATGTAGATGGAAAGGCACAGATGTTGCAAATACATTCATTCCTCTGGTCCTTCAAATTCTATCTCAAAATACAGCACCTTGCCTTTCTATCTAAGGCCCCCCATCACCAAAGTATCTGAGCACCTCTTTAATTTATTTATCCTCACAACACTCCCGCGAGGTAGGGAAGTGCAGTTATCCCCCTTATACAGACAGGGAAATGAGACACAGACAGGAGTAACTTGCCCAAGGTCACCCAAGATGTCTGTGGTGGAACAGTGAATCAAATCCAGGTCTCCCAAGTCCTAGACTAATGCCCTAAGCAGTGGACCATGTAACCACTCTGACTCAGAGTCCCACATCAGTCTCTGCCCCTAGTTTCCCACTGGACAATTCCACAGGGAGTTTCTAGGGCCTGATTCTCCATTGTCCTGCATCTTGTGCAGCCCTTTACACCAGTGCAAAGGGAATATAAAATGCTACCAAATCAGAATGGCAGCTTGTGTTTTAAACCCACCTTGTGCTCAGTTTGAACTGCTGTAAATGACTACACAAGGCCCAGGGCAACACAGAATCAGGCCCACAGGGCCCAGCAATTGTTCTGCCCCATCTGGGGAGGCAGCTTTGGCCTTCAAACAGCTCTGTCACCGCAGAGATCCTTTTACTAGCACTTGCAATTCCTTTGTCAGACTTCATTCCTATACACGCCTCTAGCACAAGGGCATCCCATGGCAGATTTGTCTACAGCTAACATGTGCGCCAGCAACTGGTACTCAGTACAGTATTTGAAGACAGCATGCTACACTCCCAGGTAGAGCGAGACTGTGGTTTTGGGCCGATCTCTCTGTAGAAGCTGAAACTCACCCCAGAGCAGAAGGACCACACATGGTCCTTGCACCATTTGAGCCCTTGAGTAGTAGCCATTTAGAATGGATGGATGCAGTGCTATTGTTTGTGCTCTGTAGGCTCAGTCCCCGCTTGCCAGGAGCGCAGTGAACACGGGGACTGTGCTTGGCCCAGAGCTCAAGTGGGCAGGTTAATGCTCTTTGCACCCTTGCCCTTCATTTCTTTGTGCACTGGAGCAGTGCTAAGCCCATTCTAGCCCTGATTGTGGGAGATGAATTGACCTTGGTGAAAGGTGAGTGATCTGGCCTTAGACTCTAAGATTCTGTGAACCAAAGTCACTTCATGTTGTCTGACATTGCTCCCCCACAATAGATCATAAAAAAGATTTCTCGGAAGAGCCCTGCTTCCTGCCAGGCAGGGAATATTTTTTAATACCAGCTGGAAGAACACAGCCAAAAGTTATTTCATAAAGTCAGTTAAGCCTCAATAAACAGCTGTGCCAGTTTCTGACCACTGTCAATATATCCATTCTCCTTCTCCAAATTACAAGCCTGTTTCAAATCAGAGCGTGCACCTTCCAGGCATGTTTTTGTGGGCAACTCTCCATTGTTATTGACAGTTGATGCACTCAGCAGCAATGAATATGAATTAGGACACACATTTTCCTTGCCATTCTCCAGGCTGTGTGACATTGGGCATCTCTGTAATGGAAAGATTAAAAGAAACCTTGTTTAAAATAGATTACTAAGGATTGGCTTATATATAAGCAGTGCCTAGGGCTGCATTGGCTGGATTGTTTTTTTTGTTAATTTGGCAGGGAGTGTTTGAAACTACAGCCCCTTTGCCTCTTTTTGACAGATCATTGTGGGACTATCTGCTTTGCAGTCTGCTCTAACGTACATCTGTCCTGTCTGGTTGGGCGCTCCCCACAGTTTGGAGTGTCTGTACATGGAATATGAAGAGGATGATGACATTTCCTTTGCAAAATGGATGAGCAGTTTCTGGGGTCACAGCTTGATTGATGAGAATGAGAAAGAGGGTAGAGGCTACAGGAAACGACAGACGCGAGCCTTTAGTGAAAGGAGAGCCTCCCTTCCAGTAAGAAGTGTGTGTGTGTGTGTTGTGGGGAGGGCAGAGATAAGTGCCTCATCAAGGGTATGATCTTGAGATACTGTGGTGATGAGTGTGCTACACATTACTGAGTAAATGTAATTCCTGTTGGCTACATTGGGAGGTGTGGGTGCTCAGCATCTCTCAGCATCAGGCTCCTGGTACCTTTATAACGAAAGAAAGAAAGTTTGGTCCGTGCCAGAAAAACAATTAAGGTATTTCAACTGGATGAGCAAAATGTTTTCACTCCTTAAAAGTTTAAGCCATAGGGGAAGTTAGGAGGTATATATGGGCTGTGCTCACAGCATAAGGGAATGGATGTGCTTTAATTATTTATTGAATGAGGATGAGTTCTGTGAAAGAGGATGAAGGGAAAGTGAGGGGGTTTAGGGTTATTTCCTGATGGGTTTGGTCCTGGAAGATAGGATTAGGTTATCTCAGGTTTCAGAGGGGTAGCCGTGTTAGTCTGTATCAGCAAAAACAACGAGGAATCCTTGTGGCACCTTAGAGGCTAACAAATTTATTTGGGCATAAGCTTTTGTGGGCTAAAACCCACTTCATCAGATGCATGGAGTGAAAAATACAGTAGGCAGGTATATATATTACAGCACATGAAAAGATGGGAGATGCCTTACCAAGTGCGGGGTCAGTGCTAACGAGGCCAATTCAATCAGGGTGGATGTCGCCCATTCCCAACAGTTGACAAGAAGGTGTGAGTATCAACAGAGGGAAAATTACTTTTTGTAGTGACCCAGCCACCCCAGTCTTTATTCAGGCCTAATTTGATGGTGTCAAGTTTGCAAATTAATTCCAGTTCTGCAGTTTCTTGTTGAAGTCTCTAAGGTGCCACAAGGACTCCTCGTTGTTTTTAGATTATCTCAGATTCTGCTCAAGCTTTGGTGGGTGAGCTATTGTATAGATCCTTTGTTGTTTAAGATTTATTTTTAATGTAACTTTTTACATAGAAATAAAATGACTAATTGTTCGAAAACGCATGACAGGAATGCAGCCAAGGATTAAGCCCATGTGGAAGGAGTATTCCAGAAAGATTTCTGTCCAGGACCCCCTACTTCACTGCTTTTGCTTAGCCATCTCACGTTCTTCTTCTTGTAGGGAACAAACCTGCTCTCCTTTTTTGGGCAAAACTCCCACTGACTTCAATGGAAGACTTTCCTGAGTAAGGAGTGTAAAATTGCACTTACAAAAAAAAAGATAGTAATCTCCTAAAACACTGCAGTATGGCTAGTGTGGGCTGACGCACTTTTTTATAAGGGTGAGCCAGCACAGAAATCTGTAGTATAATTATGTAAAATATGTTATCAATTTAAGACCCTGATCCTGCAAAGCCTTAAGCACCTGAGTAACTTTGCACACATGAGCAGTCCCACTGACTTCAAAGAGACTACTCTAATATGTAAAGTGATGTAGGTGCCTATATCTTTGTAGGATCAGGGTCTAATTCTGTAACTATTCTGAATCAGACAAGTCTGACCCTGCTATCCTTGGCCCCACCTGTCTGCGTGTATAACTTCTCCTTGAGGTCAGACTAGATGATCATAATAGTACCTTCTGGTCTTAAAATATATGAATCATTTAAATGAAAGATGCTAAAATATAACAAAGCTTACTATTGTATTGTGGAGATCCAGCTATTTTTGCAAGCAATTTTCTGCATTTACCCCTTATGGAGACTATATTATCTTGCTGAATTTCATCCACCCAAGCTGAATCCTTGGTTCCTTTTCTCTGACGTATATTATGCTGTGGGGGTTTTCATTGTTAGAATAGGTTTTCTTTTTTAAAAACACTCTACTTTGGTACTTTAGTCAAGTTCAGGAGACAGGTTAAAGCTGCAACACAGATTTACCAGTTTTGAACTGTCCAGTCAAGTTCATTCTTGGGCCAGATCCTGGGATGGAGCTATGCTGAGAGAATTCTCCACCTTAGGGTATGACCCAGAATGTATTTATATAACCATAGGTTTAACACAACCTTTCCTAGTACATTAAAAATTTGTCAATTTTGCTGCCTGTGGGTTTTGTCTCTCTCAGAACAGTATACATAGGAGTCACAAATCATACTTAAAGTTAAACATGTGCTTAAGTACTTTGCTGAATAGAGATGGTTTCCTGAATCAGAGGTGCCTGGAGTATTTTCTAGATCCCTGTGCTTTTGCAGTAAAGAGAGAGAGGACTGGGATTTTTCCCAGAGGCCACAATAACCAATCAATGAGAATTGTGCTGTTAACTTCAATGGGACTTGGAGTTGCCACTTCTAGTAGTGTCCTTGGATAAATTAATCTCAATTCAGTGGAGTTAGGATACATTTCACCTGTTTTGTTTCTCAGTCTCAGAACAATATATATTATTTGAGAATAGAAATTTCTGACCTAGAAACCTGACTAATTTGCAGTGAACAGGGTTGAAAAATGAAGCCTGTGATCTATTTCTAAAAATGATCCAAACAGTGGCACTTGTAGTTTCTTAGAATCCTCTCCTTTAGTCATTTCATGCATTCACTGTGTGCCATAATCTCCTATGGCAGACCTGCCATTGCATGCACATGGTCATTTATGCAATGGGCAATACAAGATATCTATGTCTAGCCATGTATGGACCAAGATTTGTAAAACAACTCCCACTGCTAACTGCTATAAGAAAATAAATAATAATTTTCACTTTTCATGTCAGGATCCTAGTATACTTCATAGACATTAATGAGATGAACCTCACAACATGTCTCTATGTATTATTATCATTCCCATTTTGCAGAGAGCAAGCTGAGTCATGGGATAAGAGGGAAGGTCCTCCCATGGATTGGTAACTGGTTAAAAGATAGGAAACAAAGGGTAGGAATAAATGGTCAGTTTTCAGAAAGGAGAGAGGTAAATAGTGGTGTCCCGCAGGGGTCTATACCGGGACCAGTCCTATTTAACATATTAATGAATGATCTGGAAAAAGGGGTAAACAGTGAGATGGCAAAGTTTGCAGATGATACAAAACAACTCAAGATAGTTAAGTGCCAGGCAGACTGCGAAGAGCCTCAAAAGGATCTCTCAAAACTGGGTGACTGGGCAACAAAATGGCAGATGAAATTCAGTGTTGATAAATGCAAAGTAATGCACATTGGAAAACATAATCCCAACTGTATATATAAAATGATGGGGTCTAAATTAGCTGCTACCTCTCAGGAAAGAGATCTTGGAGTCATTGTGGATAGTTTTATGAAAACATCCATTCAATGTGCAGCGGCGGTCAAAAAAGCTAACAGAATGTTAGGCACTATTAAGAAAGGGATAGATAATAAGATAGAAAATACCACGGTACGCCCACATCTTGAATACTGCGTGCAGATGTGATCACCACACCTCAAAAAAGATATATTGGAATTGGAAAAGGTTCAGAAAAGGGCCACAAAAATTATTAGGGGTATGGAGCGGTTTCTGTATGAGGAGAGATTAATAAGACTGGGACTTTTCAGCTTGGAAAAGAGACAAATAAGGGGGGGATATGATAGAATTCTATAAAATCATGACTGGTGTGGAGAAAGTAAATAAGGAAGTGTTATTTACTCCTCATAGCACAAGAACTAATCTCCTCAGTGCCAGACACAAATGAGACATGTGCCCTGTTCTGGGCATTTGCAAATTTATCTCCTCAGGTTCTCTGAGTGGAAAACTGAGTTATGTGGAAGGCAGAAAAGGAAAGAGGGTTTATTTCTATATAAACATGTTCACTTTCCAGAAGACATTGCTACTCACAGAGATGAATTTGATAAGCAAGCAACATAAGTGCAAGGGTAGAAATCATAGAAATGTAGGGCTAGAAAGGACTTCAAGAGGTCATCTACTCCACCCCCCTGCACCAAGGCAAGACCAAGTAAATCTAGACCATCCCTGACCATACCCTATTCTTAAAATCCTCCAATGGTGAACAGTCTACAACCTCCCTTAGAAACTTATTCCAGTACTTAACTATTATTATAACGACATTTTTTCTAATATCTAACAAAAACTGCCTTGCTGCAGATTAAGCCACTTATTTTTTGTCCTATCTTCAGTGGACACAGAAAACAATTGATCATGGTCTTCTTCATAACAGCCCTTAACATATTTGAAGATGTTATCAGGTGGGTCTTCTTTTCTCAAGACTAAACATGCCCAGTTTTTTTAACATTTCCTTATAGGTCAGGTTTGCTGGGTTGCTGCTGTTGAAATTACTGACACTTTATCTATGGCAGATGGTTCTCAGCCTGCAGGCTGGGGGCCGCTTGCACCCCAATCAGCACACAGTTGCGGCCCATGTGACATCATCAGGGCCGCACAGGTAGTATATATAGTGTGTGGACGTGACCCACATAGCACATGGAGAGCTGCATATGCGGCCCACAATGGAAAATAGGCTGAGAACCACTGATCTATGGAGAAGCAAAACCAAGTCAGACTGAAGGTTTGCCTATCACCACCCTATTAAAGAAGACAAACCTGATTCTAGGCTCAAACCATTTTCAGGCACAGAATGCTTGGTTATGAGGTTCTTCAAAGGAAAGAAAGGAATGGACAGATAGTTCTAGATTCTGAATGTCTGATGTGCTGGGGCCTACATGCTCCAAATCTACTGTGATTCTTGAGTAGGCCTCAACAAACAATCAACAGTAACATTGGTACAGTGAAGAGCAACTCTGTCTATGGGAGCTGAGGGAGCTTAGTGCCTCAGAGCATGAATAGTTTTCTTCAACAAAAATCTGTGGCTTATAAAAGGAAAAACATTTTATATTCTGGGCTATCCAGTCAGCATAAATCTTGCTTGTGATGACTGGTGCTCACTGGAGGCATCACCTAGTGGATAGGCGGTCAGACCTTTAGTTGCCACATCTCTACTCTTTCCCCCAGACCACCTCCATGCCTGGTGTCAGTCTGTCTTCTCTTTGTTTGGGGTGGAGTTGACCCTGGAGTCACAACAATATGATTATATAGATTGGTATTTAATATGGCCCTGACTCAGTGATCTGCACCAAGGCCTACTCAGTGATCTTTAGTGCGGCCTATTCAATGATCTGCTCTGAGGCAGATACACATTTCTGAGGAAGACCTGTTCCTTAGCTGGAGCAATTGTCACGTCTAATATGTGCTTTTCAGTCTGTCTCTTGCTTTAGACCTTATTCTATAATTCCACATTGTGAATGCAAATTTTAAAAATGTGTTAATCAAAAAATAGAATATTTTCAAATACTATACAGAAAGAATGATAGAATGTAATCCTGGATCTCAAAAGTCCTCCTGTTTTTGCCCAAATCTCCCAAGAATAGTAATTGATGCACGCATTGACCCAGGAAATAGACTCAAAAGGTATAGTTTTGTTTAGCTTAACATAGTATGTTTACTTTCCCCCCAAACTTAATTGATTGCTTTGATGTACTTTTAAACCATAATACAATATGACTTAACAATAAATACAGCCATATCGACCTGTTTGAAACAGCTATGCTTCAAAGTAAAAATAGTTTGACCAGAATCATTACAGCTTTTCTCAAAAGTGATTGTACTGGTGCTTACTGAAGGAAGTTATGTTTGGAAATGAGAACTGAGAGGATACAGTACAAGATGAATAGCCCTGAGAGCAAGGTGGTTCCATCTGTAGTAAAAATGTGGGGAAAAGGTAAAGATTTGCAGAATTCTACTGCAAAAGTGGGATGTACAAGTTAACAATTAGCAGGCCAGTAAGTCACAAGAAACATCTATATAACAAGATTCCAAGAATGTCACTCTATGTGTCAGTCTGAAACCTGTTACGTCTATCAAGTCAGTGTGAAATGACTGAAGCAGCTACAAGCATGGATGAGAGCTCTTTTTGTTCACAATATCACCAGGTTCAATCATCACCAGGTTTCATGGTCTGTTAGCATCAAATTTTCAAGTTTTCAGCCATTTTGATTTAACAAATTACGCCCTTGTGGTGTACAGCTACAGTGAGGCATGAATCTATGACATGCCAAGAGTCTTAGACCATTGTGATATTAGAGGTAACTCAACCAATCACCACCCTTCCTCTACAGTTAATTTGCATGCAACAGTTTCATTGGGTGTATAAGGGAGACTGCACAGATGGTGGATTACATGGTCCAAAAGCCACACCTGTGTGTCCAACTGCCACGCGCACAATCCAACACAAATTTCCCTACACAAGCTTAAGCCAGACACAAATCAATGCAATCACCCACACAACACAACCAGCGTACACAATAAACCCAAACACACATAGCGCCTCACTGCAGCACATTCCCCTCAGTTGCCACGTGCACAAATTTACACATCTTTCTCTGCACAACAACACAATCAGCACACACAATAACCCCAAACATCACTCTGAAGCCTAAAATGTGTTTTGGGTTAGTGTGAAGCTATGGAAAGAACTACGCATGGTTGAGAATATCACCATGTTCAATCGTCACTGGGATTCACAGTCTGTTACTGTCCAATTTTTAAGTTCTCAACCCTTTTGAGTTTGACACACTGACTTTACTAATTACACATGGGCTTCAGCTTGGGATTTTAATTACTGCCAGTGTGTGTAAATCGAAACAACCAATTAAAAAGTCAAAATCCATGTATACGGGACTGTCATATCTTGATGAAAAATGCATAGCTCTGTCTTGCTTCAAATATGGCAGTATCTGGGCCTGCACAAATGTAAATGTCAGTGAGATTATTTAATTATTTATTTATTTAAAGTCCCTTGGAGTCTGAGTGAAGTCCACCCATTCCCTGCATTGTTAAAAATCCACTGAAACTGGTTCATGCCACGCTGGTACACCGATTTCTGCAGGCAACCAGTTATTGCTCCCAAGAACAGCCATAATGTGCGAGGTGCTTTCTGTAGTAAGGTCCGTTATTTGTGTAGGATACAGGCGGTTGTAGTTTGGCTTTTCACTGACTCTTCGTGTGATCAGATAGACCACACCAACATTTGTGGGTTTTATGGATATTTTCTGGGTCTCATGTTTGGGACCATTTTTGTATTGTATGTCAGTATGGATGCTCCCAGTAGGTTTAGCTTTGCGCTATTATTGCTAATAAGAGAGACCTGAAGATCTTTGCAAATAACAGTACCATTATTAGTGCATCAGACCCAGAATGCACAATTCATAAATTCAGTGGGTGTAAGAAATCAGAGAGGTGAGGCTCATAGGTTCTATCATGACTCCAAGAGCTAGAGTCATGTTTCGGAGAGGAGAAGGAGGTAAATCACTGGAGTAGGATTAGCCAGAGGCAGCAGATATCAGATTAGGGCCTAATTTTAAGAGGCACAGAACACCAGATGTAGTTAATGGGAGCTGCAGGTGCTCAGCGTATAAGAAAATCAGGCTCCCAATGCCTGTGTGTATATGGGGAATAGGGGAGAGTGAGCTCCACAGTGGCTGTTGCTAGACCATTGCTCTGCAACTGCTTACGAGCACACAGAGGAGTGGGAAAATCAGGTTATGGCCAAGGCCTCAGCCATGCCTGCTCTGGAGCAGAAAGTGCTTCCAGCCTGACTGTGTACCCTCCTGGCTGGGTGCTGCGTGGGATCACTGTGTGGAAAAGGAAGACTGTGCATTAAGCCTGTGGATAATGCACAAGCCCCATTCAGAAAATAGACCTCATATTTAATGCTCTTTCTCATCTTTTCTTAGAATATATTTCTAGACTGTGAGACAGATCCTCAGCTAGTATAAATAAGTGCAGCTTCCTTGAAGTCAATGGAGCTACTCTGATTTACAGCAGCCAAGGATCTGGCTCCAACTGCAGAAAGACACTGTTGACGATTTTGAAGGCTACATAATACTTAGTACTTAGATGTCACTTCAATCTCCTTTACAAACATTGAATTAATCTTCACAACATCCTTGTGAGGCAGGTCAGTAAATGTTATCTTCTTTGGACAGCTGAGGAAACTGAGCTACAGAGAGTCCAAATTTTTCAAACTTGGGTATCTAAACGTAAGGCACCTAAACTAAGGCTACATCTATGCTATGAGCTAGCAGTTTGACTCCCAGTTTCCATAGACATACTCGCACAAGCTCTCATCAAGCCGTCAAACTAAAAATACTAGTGTAGCCTCAGTAATACAGGTTCAGGCAGGTTTGTGCACAAGGCGGCCAGCCCATGCTACCCTCATTGCCCATGCTACCATGGCTATGTTATTGTTTTTAGTGTGCTAACTCAATGGGAGCTAGCACGAGTATGTCTACACAAGCTGGGAATCACTCCCTGAGCTCACAGATAGATGTAGCCACAGTGCCCTGATTTTTAGAGGTGCTGAGCAGCCCCAATTGCAGCTGGAGTCAATGGAAGCAGAGAGTGCTCAGCACCTCTATTAATTAGGATATTTATTTGAATACCTAAGTTTAGGTATTCACAATTGAAAAATTGGAATAAAGGGCAAATTCTGCTCCAGTCTCTGTGGAGGGTCCCTTGGCAGGGTGGTTCACGGCACAGGGCAGTCGGGCTACAAGAGGCTGTACAGTGTCCTTCATTCGTTCTGTAGCAGAGTTTGATGTACATAAAGGCCGCTCTGCTGTTATATGTAGTACTGAACATTGACGTCTTCTATTGCAGGCCAAGCTTTCATCCATCCATATGACAAGACTTCATGCATCTACCAAAACCCCATCTTCAAGCCACTTGAGGGGCTGCAAGGAATTTCAAGAGGGCCAAGATGTTAAATGCCATTGTCACATGAAGGCATGCAAAATATCCTCACCAGATGGCTCAGGTTCAACAAGTAGATCAGACTCGATCCAGGAATTTTCAGAATCCTTTGAGAAGCAACTGCATTTCAAAATCAAGCGCTCAGTTTCTTTGGTAGGTAACCACCGTTACAGGGTGCTTAGTCCACATAAGAAACAATGAGCCAAATTCATCCCATTGACTTCAATGGGGATATACCAAAGATGCATTTGGATTAGTCTCTGAAATGAGGCAGTTTGTACTGTAGCACAAATAGGATTTTAGTTTGATAATATATTATTAGCTTGAACACCTTTAATGTAGTGCAGTTCTCTATACCAATTGCTGGTGGGATTCCAAAATAAGGCAACTAGCTGGCCTGGACTGACCATGGCAGTAAGATGTTTTAAATGGATTCTCCAGCTGTGGGAATGAAGTGTTACAATATTAAAATGTTCCTGCTTTTTACAGCTGGCCAGGTAGCTGCTCACCTTAGGTGTGAAACTCTGTCCTCTTTCCCATTGCTACTGACCTGTTTAACCATATGGAGTGTTGCTCATAACACTCTCAACCTGAAGCATAGGCATTTTATTATATTTTCTGCTTTTCTTGTCTTGATGACACAACTAGTTTCTGACTTTGCTGTCTTATAGTTCCGTTTCCCAGGATTTAACACATATTCTCCTGCTTTAACTATTCATAAACATGGAGAGAGAATAATACATTTTAGCATTTTTTATTTTTAAGGCCTTTCATAAGAGGAACACAGTCAACTGGGAGAATAACATGAGGGGGAAAGGAGAGCTGGTTGTATTTTAAATGACAGGTTTCAGAGGAACAGCCGTGTTAGTCTGTATTTGCAAAAAGAAAAGGAGTACTTGTGGCACCTTAGAGACTAACCAATTTATTTGAGCATGAGCTTTCGTGAGCTACAGCTCACTTCATCAGATGTATACCGTGGAAACTGCAGCAGACTTTATATACACACAGAGAATATGAAACAATACCTCCTCCCACCCCACTGTCCTGCTGGTAATAGCTTATCTAAAGTGATCAACAGGTGGGCCATTTCCAGCACAAATCCAGGTTTTCTCACCCTCCACCCCCCACACAAATTCACTCTCCTGCTGGTGCTAGCCCATCCAAAGTGACAACTCTTTACATAATCAAGTCGGGCTATTTCCTGCATAGATCCAGGTTTTCTCACATCCCCCCACCCCCATACACACACAAACTCACTCTCCTGCTGGTAATAGCTCATCTAAACTGACCACTCTCCAAGTTTAAATCCAAGTTAAACCAGAACATCTGGGGGGGGGGGGTAGGAAAAAACAAGAGGAAACAGGCTACCTTGCATAATGACTTAGCCACTCCCAGTCTCTATTTAAGCCTAAATTAATAGTATCCAATTTGCAAATGAATTCCAATTCAGCAGTTTCTCGCTGGAGTCTGGATTTGAAGTTTTTTTGTTTTAAGATAGCGACCTTCATGTCTGTGATTGCGTGACCAGAGAGATTGAAGTGTTCTCCGACTGGTTTATGAATGTTATAATTCTTGACATCTGATTTGTGTCCATTTATTCTTTTACGTAGAGACTGTCCAGTTTGACCAATGTACATGGCAGAGGGGCATTGCTGGCACATGATGGCATATATCACATTGGTGGATGTGCAGGTGAACGAGCCTCTGATAGTGTGGCTGATGTTATTAGGCCCTGTGATGGTGTCCCCTGAATAGATATGTGGGCACAATTGGCAACGGGCTTTGTTGCAAGGATAAGTTCCTGGGTTAGTGGTTCTGTTGTGTGGTATGTGGTTGTTGGTGAGTATTTGCTTCAGGTTGCGGGGCTGTCTGTAGGCAAGGACTGGCCTGTCTCCCAAGACTTGTGAGAGTGTTGGGTCATCCTTTAGGATAGGTTGTAGATCCTTAATAATGCGTTGGAGGGGTTTTAGTTGGGGGCTGAAGGTGACCGCTAGTGGCGTTCTGTTATTTTCTTTGTTAGGCCTGTCCTGTAGTAGGTAACTTCTGGGAACTCTTCTGGCTCTATCAATCTGTTCCTTTACTTCTGCAGGTGGGTATTGTAGTTGTAAGAAAGCTTGACAGAGATCTTGTAGGTGTTTGTCTCTGTCTGAGGGGTTGGAGCAAATGTGGTGGACCAGGCTGAGGTTGGTGGTGGGATGGAAATTGTTGAAATCATGGTGAAATCAATTTCCATCCCACCACCAACCTCAGCCTGGTCCAGTCCACACAAGAGATCCACTTCCTGGACACTACAGTGCTAATAAACAATGGCCACATAAACACCACCCTATACCGGAAACCTACTGACCGCTATTCCTACCTGCATGCCTCCAGCTTTCACCCTGACCACACCACACGATCCATCGTCTACAGCCAAGCTCTGCGATACAACCGCATTTGCTCCAACCCCTCAGACAGAGACAAACACCTACAAGATCTCTGTCAAGCTTTCTTACAACTACAATACCCACCTGCAGAAGTAAAGAAACAGATTGATAGAGCCAGAAGAGTTCCCAGAAGTTACCTACTACAGGACAGGCCTAACAAAGAAAATAACAGAACGCCACTAGCGGTCACCTTCAGCCCCCAACTAAAACCCCCTCCAACGCATTATTAAGGATCTACAACCTATCCTAAAGGATGACCCAACACTCTCACAAGTCTTGGGAGACAGGCCAGTCCTTGCCTACAGACAGCCCCGCAACCTGAAGCAAATACTCACCAACAACCACATACCACACAACAGAACCACTAACCCAGGAACTTATCCTTGCAACAAAGCCCGTTGCCAATTGTGCCCACATATCTATTCAGGGGACACCATCACAGGGCCTAATAACATCAGCCACACTATCAGAGGCTCGTTCACCTGCACATCCACCAATGTGATATATGCCATCATGTGCCAGCAATGCCCCTCTGCCATGTACATTGGTCAAACTGGACAGTCTCTACGTAAAAGAATAAATGGACACAAATCAGATGTCAAGAATTATAACATTCATAAACCAGTCGGAGAACACTTCAATCTCTCTGGTCACGCAATCACAGACATGAAGGTCGCTATCTTAAAACAAAAAAACTTCAAATCCAGACTCCAGCGAGAAACTGCTGAATTGGAATTCATTTGCAAATTGGATACTATTAATTTAGGCTTAAATAGAGACTGGGAGTGGCTAAGTCATTATGCAAGGTAGCCTGTTTCCTCTTGTTTTTTCCTACCCCCCCCCCCCCCGATGTTCTGGTTTAACTTGGATTTAAACTTGGAGAGTGGTCAGTTTAGATGAGCTATTACCAGCAGGAGAGTGAGTTTGTGTGTGTATGGGGGTGGGGGGGATGTGAGAAAACCTGGATCTATGCAGGAAATAGCCCGACTTGATTATGTAAAGAGTTGTCACTTTGGATGGGCTAGCACCAGCAGGAGAGTGAATTTGTGTGGGGGGGTGGAGGGTGAGAAAACCTGGATTTGTGCTGGAAATGGCCCACCTGATGATCACTTTAGATAAGCTATTACCAGCAGGACTGTGGGGTGGGAGGAGGTATTGTTTCATGATCTCTGTGTGTATATAAAGTCTGCTGCAGTTTCCACGGTATACATCTGATGAAGTGAGCTGTAGCTCACGAAAGCTCATGCTCAAATAAATTGGTTAGTCTCTAAGGTGCCACAAGTACTCCTTTTCTTTTTGCAAATACAGACTAACACGGCTGTTCCTCTGAAACCTGTCATTTAAAATACAACCACAAATGGACACAAATCAGACGTCAAGAATTATAACATTCAAAAACCAGTTGGAGAACACTTCAATCTCCCTGGTCACTCGATTACTGACCTAAAAGTCACAATTCTTCAACAAAAGAACTTCAAAAACAGACTCAAATGAGACACTGCTGAATTGGAATTAATTTGCAAACTGGACACCATTATATTAGGCTTGAATAAAAACTGGGAGTGGATGGGTCATTACACAAAGTAAAACTATTTCCCCATGCTTATTCCCTCCCCCCCCGCCCCGCCCCCATTACTCTCACCTTCTTGTCAACTGCTGGAAATGGCCCACCTTGATCATCAGTACAAAAGGTTTTTTTTCTCTCCTGCTGGTAATAGCCCACCTTATCTGATCACTCTCCTTACAGTGTGTATGGTAACACCCATTGTTTCATGTTCTCTGTGTATATAAAATCTCCCCACTGTATTTTCCACTGAATGCATCCGATGAAGAGAGCTGTAGGTCATGAAAGCTCATGCTCAAATAAATTGGTTAGTCTCTAAGGTGCCACAAGTACTCCTGTTCTTTTTGCGAATACAGACTAACATGGCTGCTACTCCGAAACCTGTCAAAATATGAGAGAGAATTTGAGAGTGCACTTGAAGTTGGATTTCAAGTTTAGCCATGAGAATTCCTATTTCTCTGAACACTATAAAAGTCCTTGAGGTGGCATTCAATCCCTCCTTTACAGTGCAACACAGGAAAGATACATGGGAAAGAGGTAATCCTATTCAACCTCATTCTTAATGTATCGCTTCCCTCTTGAAAGTTGCATTGATGACAGCTTATTAACATCTTCAGCACCTGTGTCTGGGGAGGTCTTCAGAACCAACAGAGAACATCATCAAGGAATGTGGAGGCTTCATTACAACCTGGATCAAGTGAGAGAGTAGCAAGACGGAGTCTGGTGTGAAATCCCAGGGCTCCTCCTCCCTCATGGCCCTTCAGATGGGTGATCCCAGCCTGTAAGTGTGCAGCATACCAAAGTTATAGGGGAACACATGTTGCACCCTGCTGGGTTTTAGGGTGACTACTCTGGGGCCATGAGTTTGAGACAGTCATTTTAATGCTGATTTGTCACAGGTAGGTGACCAGAATTTTTATAATATCTTTTTGATTAAATAAATTATGAGTTTTTGTCACTCTTTCGGGGATTTGTTTCTAATTTTCTCCATTCTATTTTCCTTTCAGCAACCTGAGGGCATGCAGGAGAGGAGAGCAAGGCTGTGCATGTCCAAGAGCAGATCTCACAAGAGAGAGGGAGGGAAGAGGGAGCCAAAGAAAGAGCAGAAGGAAGAAGAAAGACCAGAGATTCCTGCTGGAAAACAAAGCAAATAGCTTCCATCC